CATTATCAGAAACTGATGCAATTTAAAAGTGAATTTTCAGCCCTTTTTCATTCCTCATCACCTTTTCCATTTCTGTTACATCTTTCGGGGCTTGTCAAGACAAAGGCAGGAACTACCCTGTTTCTATTAATCTTCTCACCAGCAAAAGAGCGAAGTATACATGCTTTAAATAAGTACAAGCAGTGGTAAATTTTCAGTTAGACTTCCACCTTTTTAGAAGACGTTGGCCAGGCTTTTCCCTACATGCGGTTGCTGCCAACTGAAATGTTTTTGCTTTCTCTTACCTTTATCAATCTGCTCTTTTAAAGTTCACTGCTGTGCTATTTTCCTCCAAATTTATTCCACTGACTTTTCCTGGAAAAGGAAACCTGACATTTCACATTTTCTTTGTTGCAGATTACGGTATTAAGACATCCATTTTTGCTGCTTCTGTCTCAGGTTTTTAGAATCCCCTCCCTTTTCATTATATTTACCTGAATTTCAAACTGTGAAAGATTTATACATGTAATACAGATCCCTTTGAGCACCAAATTTGGATTACAGGTAGTCCTCAATTTACGACCATTCATTTAGCAACTGTTTGAAGTTATGACGGTACTGAAAAAAAAGAGACTCACAACCAATCCTTGCACTTATGATCCTCGCAGCATCCCCATGATCTTATGACTAAAATTAAAGTATTTTGCAATTGACATGTATTTATGATGGTTGACAGTCCTGGAGTCACATGATCAGCATTTGAGGCCTTCCAAGTCGGCTTCCAATAAGTAAAGTCAATGGTGGAAGCCTGATTCACTCAATCAATGCATGATTCGCTTAACAACTATGGTGATTCGCTTAACAACCCTAATATAAAGGTCATAAAATTGGGTACAACCCACTTAATGACCGCCTCGCTTAGCAATGGAAGTTCTTGTCCCAATGGTGATCACGAATTGAGAACAGCTGTATAGAAGGGTGAGAATTGGTGTTTAAGGAGCAAATCTTACTTGTCATCTCCTCACACAAGATGGAAATGTTGGCAGGTCCACAGAATTGATCACTATGAAGATTTGTTTCTATGCTATCTACAGGGTGACTCACGAACCAAGATGGGAGATTCAACAAAGGCCTGACACTAACTCAATGCTACTTCCTGCCATGTAGCTGTCTTCAAACATAGTTTTTGCTTCTTCCACCAACCTTTTCCCCATCATACTGGGCCAATCCTCTTTATTGTTGCTTTAATGTCACTTGCTGAGTTGTTGAGCCAGTCACATAAAGAATCCCAGAATTAGCCATCCTAAAATACACTCTACATTGAGCCCTATTCAGATGTCATTTGGACAGAAAGCAAAACCTCAGGAAAACTTTATGCCAGTGTTTTCCAACCATGGCAACTTGAAAATGTGTGAACTTCAACTCCCAGAATTCCCCAGCCAGCAGTGATTGGGAAACACTGGCACAGAGAAGCAGAAAAGAGATGCAGCATGACCACTTCTTGGGACAGGATGTCAGAGATCTATGATAAGATCTGTGTTTGGAAGTTTGAGTAAATTGTGTTAGCTGATAGGCAAAAGGAGAGATTTAGATCTAGGCTGGGGCACAAAAAACACAGATGCAATCTATTGACACAACTGCTTTTGGCCTTGCAAGATAAAACGTGTAAGTACTCATATGATGAACTGTTAAGTTTGCTCTCTGGGTCAAGCAGCAATATGGGTACAATAATAATTTTAACGGGGGAAGGGGGAGGAAAATATTGCATTTCAGCCCTAAAAATGACTTCAGCCAATAGAGGGTGGACAAGGAAGGTTTCTATCTTTTGTGTCCATAAAATGAGAAATGTTGGAGAAATTAGCTGGAAAAAACTTCTACAATGAAAAGAGTTAAGCTGCATATGTTTATATTCTCTCTCTTACACATTCACATACATGCTGTACACATTTCTCTCACTCACTCACACATACACCCTCTCCACTGACATTCTTAGCCTCCAATGCTGCTTTTCTTTTAAATAAAAAAATGACTATAGGTATCTGTGAAATAAGAGGGAGTCATCAGCATGCCTGCCTGAACCTCAACAGAGCCTTACTAAATCTAATCTAATCTAATCTAATCTAATCTAATCCTTATTAAACTGTAGGTGTTCAGTAAGGGTGAAACACCTTAGTTTACATAGCATATTAAATCTTACTGTGGTTTTTTTTCTATTTTAATTTTAGATTTTTATCCTGCCTCCCTTTATTATTTTTATACAGCAAATACAACACTCTTTCCTCCTCCTATTTTCCCCACAACAACAACTCTGTAAAGTAGGTTGGCCTAAAGAGAGAGAGAGAGAGACTGGCCCAAAGTCAACAAGCTGTCTTCGATTCAAAAGGGGAGAGGGGGTGAAGTATAATTCACCATCTCCTTGGTGATTGGCCCAAATTCACCCAACAACTTTCATGCCTAAATCGGGATTAGAACTCACCGTCTCCTGATTTCTAGGCCACCACCTTAACCTCTACAAACTGGCTACAAAATTCATTAGCCACCCAATGTAGTTTAAGTCAATAAACAGCAGTTATACAGATCATGACTTTTGCAAAGCTTGAGAAAGCTTGTGGCAGAATGGGACGGCCAAGGCAACCTATGTGAAAGGAACAGCTGCTAACATTTCCCCAAATCACTTTGGTCTATTTTGGCTTATTTGTCTCAATGGGAGATGGGTACTAAATGCTCTTTCTAAAGATCTATTGGAAGAAACAATGGGAAACGGCATCAAACCAATGATCCAGAGATAGTTCAGGATCTCAGAGGCACCAAACAAAACAAGCTATACCGTTTAAAAATAGATCTTTGTATTGCTGAACTTAATAGAACTAGAGAATGGTCACAGTAAGGATGCACCCTGCTTTGAAAGAAAATGATGAAAGAGAGGATGGGGAGGTTTATCAATTAGATAATCACCTCTAATATTTAAGTGAGAATAAAACTCCTGTGCTCCTTGTCTAGTCTTCCAATCCAGCCTTTCTGATTTATCCTTACCAACAATGGATTGGCACCCACCTAGTGGCCTTTCCTACATTTCTCTATCCATTATCAGATGAGGAAATAAAACATGTGTGAAGGTTGTCACTAATTGCTGGAGACTGGAGTTTGGGGAGGGGGAGGAGAGAATTCAAGGACATGCTACTTGCTAGAATTAATTTCCCAGTGCAGACTTGCTGTCCAAGGGATGCCCCATGGAGGGAGGCATAATCAGGTCACATTGTTCTCTGCATACTGCAATCTTCTTATTTTATCTGTCACACCCACTTTGAATGCTGGAATTATCCATGTAGAAATGGAATATATACAGATCATCAGAAAGGAAGGACTCTTATTCTGCCTCCCTATTTAACACAGAGGAGGTTCATCGTACAAGATTTTTTTTTCAATGATAAACTGCCCATATTCTTTCAAAAAGCCTCTTGAGATTCTGTATGATCTTCTCCATGAAAGCAGTCAATGCATCTGTAGCTCATCAGCTGATTAGTTAGAAACGTATCAGTCCCAAGACTTTACTTGTGAGCTTATCAGCTCTAGAAATATACTGTATACTGTGGGATAAAATGGAGGATGATATAGAAGATAGCATTCTGAGCAGAAAAATGACCAGAAATATCTAATCATTCAATTATGGGAAATAAGATGAAGTATCCAGAGCCAAGCCTCTTAAACAAATTATCTTGTCTATCATAATACATTGTGGTATACTTTCCAGGTCAGTTACAGAATTACGTTTTCAGAAAGCAGAACTCCGACTGAGCCGAGGGCATACCTAATTCAGTGTTTAAGATGAAATCATGGATGGGATCAACTAGAAGTAGGTAGGGCCACAGATTATAGGAGAGAAAAGGGCCAAATGCATCACAAGGTTTAGGGGACTATCAGAATAAAGAATAGATAAATAAAATTTTTGAGTCAATGAAGTAGAATTGTGGACTGGAATAGAAATGAAAATAAGGAATTATGGTTTGAAGAACAGAAGGCTCAAGAGGCAAAGCTAAGGAGGTTAAAAGTGGTAGAATTAGAGCAGCAGAGTTAAAAATTTTGAACTATCAGGTTGCACCTCAAAAATCTATGGAGCTGCAGAAAAACAGGAAGGAAGGAAGGAAGGAAGGAAGGAAGGAAGGAAGGAAGGAAGGAAGGAAGGAAGGAAGGAAGGAAGGAAGGATATATACATACATGAAGCTATTAATTGGGGCGTGACAGGATCATTAAAGAAAATACATTAGCACAGAAAGTTCTGTTATCAGCAAAGTGTAAATATCTTGCCTTACTTATAGAATTTTACAAGGGAGTTAAGAAGGCTTTTTTCCTCTTGTAAATATGTTTTTCTATATTATCCATTATCCATATAGAAAATCTTGAAAATATGGAATGGTATCACCATTCAATATATTTTGGCTGAGTGCTAGGACCTGTCTAATTGGAAGCACTCATAGAAGCCATAGGTAATTTAACATGGACAGCAAGTAAATCCTTCAGACATTTTTAGAAGTTCTCCAGCAAGGACAAGTAAAATCTGTGACCTGACCAAATTCTGCATTTTTTATTCAGGCTTTTAACTGATTGACACACACACACAATTTTTTTTTTTAAAAAAAATCATAAGCTACCTTATTTCTTCAAACAAAAAGCCAAACCTTCTTCTGATCTACAGATTTCGGTTAAGGTTGGACCTCCCTAAAGAGGACTAGAAACTTACTTAAGATGTGCACAGGAAGGCATGCATACATCCAAAAATAAATCTATAAATAATAACAGGATAGCCAGCCTGCTAAATTTTGCATCTACTGCTCAGTTCTGTACCTTTTCAGCATCTGGTCGTAATTTTAAAAAAGATAGGTTTTTGGTTTTTTTTTTGCAATGGAATAACGTCCGAACCGCCATGGGGTTGTAGAACATGAGCTGGGTAGTAGGAAATGGGCCACAAGGATCAAGGCAAGTGGGAGGCGGAGGGAGGGATTAGGGGCTGGGGTTTCTCTCACCAGATGAAGTCTGTGCAATGGCTGCAGAAGGTGGGCTGTTTGAAGAAGCGGGCGGTAAACTTGTGGCTCTTCACCTCGTGGATGACCTTCTGGCGGAGCGCCCCCTTGCGGCAGAAAAGCGGCTTGGTTAAGCACTCGGTCTCGGTGGGGGAGCTCAGGAGCGCCATGCTGCCCCCTGGGGGAAGCTCCAGTGCCCTGACCCACAAAGGCGAAGGGGTGCTGGAGAAACAGACGGCAGGGGAAGAGGGGAGAAGGGAGGGACCCACCACCCAAAGGAGGGGAGCGGGGGATGTGGGTCGAGGAAGGGCAGGAAAAGAGGACTGACAGAGGATGAATGAATGCTTGGCAGAGAGAGAGAGTTTGCAAAGAAGAGGATAACAGAAAGGATGGACGGATGGAGGGAAAAATTCAGAGATGCAGAGGAAGGGATGGCAGATGAAGAGAGCAATTGGGTAGAAGGGCAAGGAAGTGGGGAGTGGAGCAAAAGGAAAGGTAGGAAAGAAAAAGAGAAGAAGGGATAGGAGAAAACGGAGGAAGATGCGGAGCAGCAGGCACAGGCTCGGAGCCGAGAGAGAAACAGGTTGTGGCTGAGCTGCCTCTCTTCCTCAGCGAGGTTTGGAGGGGGAGGCTAAGGCTGGGAAGGAGGAGTTAGAGTTTAAAGAGGAAGCACAACGATTGTCTTTCTCCAACCAAGGAGGCAACGGGACACACACACACACACACACACACACACACACACACACACACACACCCCTTTCTAAATTCCCTTTTAATTGCACCGAGTCTCCTTAGAGAACCCAGGTTCCCAGCCTTCTCCTGTTAAGACTACCCACCGACCCACCCAAAAGCAAATGCCCATCTCTTCAGGGCATGTTAAAAGACAAGTCAATAGGTGAAACAAAAGCAACGTGGTTGGTTGGGGGTTGTGGGGAGAGTATCTCCTGGATGGGGTTGAAAAAGAAGCAGAATTACGAAAGACTGAGCATTGAAGTGGGATGTTGTAAAAAAAACGTCAACCGGAAGGGTCAGGAAGTTCTGAGTTTGTTCCCTAGGCTGGGTGAATGATGAGGTGGGTGGGAGTGGGGGGGGTGTGAATCCGATGAATGGAGAAGTTGGAGAAGTCCTGGGTCCATCCCCATCTCCTGATCCCTGTTTTTGAGTTCAGAGTTCCTGGTGACAAATGTGGAAGCCATCCTGCCCTTTGGCAGGGCGCTCTCCGGGGCCTTATTAATGAATAACTTTGGCTGCAGGGCTGAAGAAATGGATATATAGTCCCAAGGTAGAATCCCTGCTAGGTTTTATGCAGTTGTACCAAGCCTGTAAAGCTGAGTCCTTCTGCTCCTCACCGTTCAGAAGAGAATCCCAGGTCAATCCCTACAGCACCCAGGAATCTTCCGTCGTCACCCCTTTCCTGTCACCCCTTCCATCCATAGGTCTGGCCCAGACCACTGCGTCCCGTTCCTCACCCTTGGAAGGCAGTCCCCCATCCCTCCCCCACCCTGAGGATTCCCAAGGAACGTCTTGTGTTTTGTGTGACACCATGTCTGGGTTAGCCTCCATGCTGCTGCTGATGCTGCTCCTTTCTTGCCAGATCTCAGAAGGCTCCAAGCACGTAGAAGGTGAGTTCCTTCATACCTCTCCTCAATTTTTAACACAAAGTGCTGGGTTAGGAATACAGGAACTGTTTTCCATTGTTGTATCCAAATGACATGATGAACCCAGCCACTTAGTAACTTTGATTTTTATTCAAGAGCCCGTGAATTGAACAAAGCATGGCTTAAAGCAGAGTGTAAACTTGTTTATTCTTTCAGCATCTAATCTTCTTGAGTCTGCTCTGACCAATCCTAATTTGACTGCTAGCCTAAGTGAGCCATGTTCAGCCTTAACTATTTTTTAGTTAGAGGCCTCCAACCTTGGCAACTTTAAGACTTGTGGACTTCAACTCCCAGAGTTCCTCAGCTAGCTTTGCTGGCTGAGGAACTCTAGGAGTTGAAGTCCACAAGTCTTAAAGTTGCCAAGGTTGGAGACCCCTGTTTTAGGTGATTGGATGGAGTGGCACACCTAGCATCAGCTGTGACTGTAAAAGCTTCTGGATTATTTAAAATACAGTTGCCGAAACTTTTGGCTTGCCTGGGCCTCATTGAGTGAAGAGGAATTATTTTGGGCCACATATAAAATATATATAGTATATTTAATGTATATAAATAACAAACTTCCTTTATTTTTTGGCATGTTTTTATTATCTTGGGGGGCTGCACTGCTAGCTGTCCAGGGCCACACGTAGCTTATGAACTGCAGGTTGCATATACCTGGTTTAAAAGATAGCCAGATGAAAAATATAACTACCTTCCATTGATTTGCCTTATCAACGTTGTAGCTCAAGTTGGACATAGGAGCAAAAATAATTGTGGGTCCTTCTGCCAGAAGGTAAGTTAGGGACAAGAGTTTAATTATCTGTTTCTTTTCTTCCACTCAGGTGTAAATAAATAAAACAATAAATATATAGCAATATAATAAAATAAATAAAAATAATATTTTTATTAAAGACTTGAGATATTGGATACTGTTTTTAAAACTTTCCCGGGAATTGGATACAAACACATTGCCCTGAATAAAAGGATCTTACAGCGGGATGTAATTATTTATTCTGAAAAATCTACTGAAGACATTTAGCTTTCTTCAAGCTATTTTACAGATAAAAAAATTGAAGCTTCCGAGAGAACCAGTCTAAGTGATAACATTTATCTACTCAACTGTCCCAGATCTTGAATACCACATTCTAACTATTGAATAATATTGCCAATCTGTACTTTTTAACTTCTACATTGCACACTTTCACACGTTTTCTTTCTCTGTCCATCCAATGGTTAATTTCTAAAATGCAAATATTTCTAAAATGAAGGCATTTATGCCTTGTTTAACTTTCTAACAGTATACGAAATCGATGCATTCATTTGTCTTCAGATATACTCAAGGTGTTTTCCATAATCACATTTACATTTATATATGTGTGCGTGTATATCTGTAATTATATGTTATAATTATGTAATTACTGGTTTTCTACAGAGATTTAATGCATTTGAGAAAGATCCAGAAATATTTAAGCTAGCATGTCTATTTTTGGGAAGTACAAGCTTAATCATGTACTCAGACTATATACATATATATATATTATATATATAATCAGACTATATGTGTATGCATTTTCCACCAACATCACAGAAAATATCTCTCAACTACTTAGTCTAGATTGAATGTGGCTATATGAAGTAATATGGTAGTGCAATTGATATGGTTCTGTTGTTTATTTGTGTGGCTACACAAAGTAAACAATGGAACAACTCACTTTGCAGACCATCAGCTTATTTTGCTAAGCATCTAATTTCATAACTGCATAAAATAACATTCAATCAATAGTATTATTGAGAAAAGCTTAACAATAGGTGTATTTTATCTGTTTGGAATATATTATATACAATAACTTTTATTATGTTTCAATGCTTGGTTTATTTATCCCCAAATCACTTAAGCTTTAAAATCTTTATAGAGGTGCAAAATATGAAGAAATACTCCAGAATACATTACTGCCCACTGGATTCCAGAGTAATGGAATCTCTGAGAAAAAGAAACGGGCTAAAGCACAGAAATAACTAACAAATAGGTACAGACCATAAATATGTGGGATTTTTTTTTTCTTGCAGATGAATATAAAACTCTCAGTTTTAGAATGTATTTCTCCATCTGGCGGCCACTGATAGTAAAGCAACTTTACTCTTGTATGTGAAAAAAATATTTTGTTTGAGCTTGAGTTATTTTACTGTCAATTTAGAGCTTTAGGCAGCAATATGGAACTGACCTTCTTCCCGAGTATTTTTGAACTCTTTAGCTCTAATATTTACAGTAATGAATTTTTCCCAACCAGACCTGATTAGTTCTGACCCAGCTTAGCTTATTAAAATCATTCAAAGTTGGGTATATTCCAGCTGGAGTCTTCTAAATTAAAATGGAGCAAAAGATTTGCTTAATGAACAAAACCTACTTTCTTTCTTAACCCCCACACCATTCCCTTCCATATAGGATATATTTAAAGTGCAGTCTCAGGGATTTTTGAAAATGGGTGTTACTTCTCATTAGCATCCTATTAAGAACTGTCACCTTCTTCACAATTAAGGTTGTGCGCAAGGGCAGGTGATTTTGCTTTATATAGCCATGACAATTTATTAGACATTAAAAAGCTGTTAAAAGCAAAGGAACAACAGTTGTGCCTCCGGCTCACAATCATTGTAGAGAAAGGTTTGACATTCTTTTGCTCGAGCATATGAAGAAGAGGGAAGTTTAAATGTGTGCAATCTGGGATTGCAAATACTGCACAGGCCCAAGGGCAATAGTTAAATAACACGGATCTGAGCTACTACAGGTAGTCCTCGACTTACAACAGTTCATTTAGTGACTGCTCAAAGTTACAACAGCAGTGAAAAAAGTGACTTATGACCGTTTTTCCCAGTTACGACCTTTCCAGCCTCCCCATGATCATGTGATCAAAATTCAGATGCTTAGCAACTGATTCATACTTATGACCATTGCTATGTCCCAAGATCATGTGGTCCTCTTTTGCAACCTTCTGACAAGCAAACTCAATGGGGAAGGCAGATTCACTTAACAACCAGGTTACTAACATATCAACTGAAGTTATTCACTTAACAACTGAAGCAAGAAAGGTAATAAAATGGGGCAAAATTCACTTAACAAATACCTCACTTAACAACAGAAATTTTGGGTTGAATTACGGACATAAATCGAGGACTACCTGAATTGTTTTCACAAGCATTGATAGAGTTTGTTTCCATCATACACATAAACACACACACACACACACACACACACACACACACACACCACCCTCACACACTGTGTTCAGAGGGAGGTATAGACGAGAAATAAAAATAAAGCCAATTTTAAAAACAGTCTTTTTTTCAAAAGTCAACACACATTTTCCCCTGGATGATACCTAAATCTGGTAGGATGTTTGCAATTTAAGCCTCTGAATAAGTAGATTGAGTGAATATACCAGCCAATTCAGAAGGTGATTTATTTGGGTTTTGGCTTAATGTGTTACACCCAACCATTCTGGTTTACAAATCATGATTTATGGCAGCATATTGTATGAACTCAGCCAGTTGTGGTGCACTTAATTTTCATTAAACAATGGTTTAGTATGATATGTGAATCCATCAACCATCTTGCAAGAGTACTCCAAAAGTGCAAAATATGTGTCATTAAATGATTGCCAAAGATTTTGAAGCAAGCTGGTAGCCAAACACTTCAAAGATCTGTATAGAGCTACAGAGAACTAGATATGCAATTTGGGAACACTAAGGAAAACAGAGAGACTCCCAGCTTGGCCTTGGGATTCTAAAATAAAATTCATTAGAAATGCAAGAAAACTTAGTTCTCAAGCTAATTTGCTTTTGGGTTGATTTTTTTCCTCTCATATGACTATATGTGTTCCATATTAATGAGGATTTCCAAAATTAAAATACCCAAACAGAAAGCTTTGAAAACTGTTCTGGACCATGTTGGACCAGTTTCACTTCTCAGACAGGTTGAGTTTTGAAGAAAAGGTGTAAGA